TGCCGGAGCCCTCGAGATTTTTCCGAGCGTGGAAAGCCTTGAGTGATAACGTGATCAGCGTGAAACTCGCATAAAAATTGAAATTTATATGCAGCAAATATTTCATATTTCTCCATTGAGGACACAGTAATGCGTTGTCATTTATAATATGATGCGCGGTGGGGAATTGTAAAAAATCTGTTGAATACATTTCATTCTCCGCCGAAGAGGATCATCTTGCATGTAATGCTTGAGAAAAAGACACACTCTCACCACATAAAACAAGTAGATAAACATTCCATTTGGCGGAAAGTGTTATAAATAGAGAGATGCCGCGATGACAAACACGAGGGGTAAACTTTCGTACGTCTTCATAGGCGAAATCTGTGGGCCAAAGTGGAGGGTGACGTGCGGCAATGTGCGTCAACCCCTTTTTTGCACCCCCGCGCGCACATTCATGTGCCTGAAAATAATTTATAGTCGCGGAATCACGTGTCAAATGCGAATCATCCCTCGCAACATCTTCGCATCTCCACTTCCGGCGAGGGATGGAAAATAAATCAACACATATCGCCCGCGTAAGTAGTCGGATTTGCTTAATTTCTGCTGCCCAACTTTGCATGTCATTCGACTACTTATGGGGTAGAGTTTAACACCATTTGGTACATATTTCATGCAAGATTTCATCCATTTGTGCGACAGCGCTTCCCACTCACAATGGCTCAATGGGAAAGCTCGGCGGAAGCTTCTTTTCAATTGGATAAATCAATACCACATCACTTGATCCACTTTACTTAAATTGCCCTTGAAGAACCTCATTAGAATTCGCGGAATGCATCTCAAAACTGCGCTAATTCCAATTCTTCGCCCAGTCATAATGCTTTGAAAGATTCAGTCCCCATAAAAAAGTAGTTGAGGATAATCAATTCAATTGACTGTAAGACTGAAAATCCAATTGTCTCGTCAAATTCCGCCTTTTCTGCGCTCCAGCACAGTCCATTCGTGAGACATGCAGAAAAGTATTTTAATATAACGAGGAGAGAAAGAAAATTTCCTCTCGAGTCTCCCCATTTGAGATTTCCCTCCTACTTTTTTTCCCCCGACAACTCGGGGGTGGAAATGGTGGATTAGTAGAGAGTTATCTCTAATTTGTGGAGGATTTGTGATGTCATTCTTTTCTGCGTTCCTCATCCACCCACTTTTGCATTTTTCCACCGTCGAGCGCGATGGGGAGACAAAAATGGTGAGGGTGCGGGAATCATAGAGAGGAAATTAAAAAGAACTCCAAGTATTTTAAATTAAAACCGATTTTCCATCTTCTCTGTGAGACGCACATATTAAATCGAACTTTGAGTGACACATTTTTGATTAGATTCCCTAAAGCTCTTTGGGAGCAGAATCGATTTCGCTGCTGAATTTTCATCAAAACTTTTCTTCTGCCTCTCGCAGTTTTTTTTTTCTTCCCGTGCCCCAGACAAACCCCACAACCCACTGGCATCTGGAGACGAGGGATTTCCATTCAATTCGCGATTATACCGCCTCTCCGACGATTGCGTATAAAAATTCAATATGAGTGGCAGTTGAGGCTGAATTCGACATGAGAGTTTTCTTGCACCAATTGAATCTATCTCAGCTGGAAATATCTTTAAGAGGTTGAAGTACTCCCTCAATGCCGCGCTGAATACTTAACCGAGACATCCTAGCGTAACTTTGGCAGAAAATATCACAGAGTAGAGAGTCAAGGTAACGGTCTTGTTTGTGCACGGAGTTGACTTAATGCTGATAATTTTATGCCATCAGACGTGGAACTTCATGGTCTGATTGCACGTATTTATTTGGATAGCTTTTTTCTGGCACAATATATCAACATGCTGGCGTAGAACAAAAAAGCCACCCAGAAATCGCGAGAGTGTCATGAAATACCTTTCGCAATGCATGGAAGAATGCGACGTCTTCGATATAGACACATGGCAAGATGGATTTTTTGGGTGGAATAAAAAATTCTTTTGCCAATTTTGTGCAATGCACGTGATGAATCTGAAAATAATTAGGCATGTTCGATGGGGTGAGATGCATAAAAAAGCCACTTTCACACAATCCATCATTTCTCCGGCGAAACGCCGTGTCTTGTCTTGTTCTTCGCGAGGGTCGCGCGGCAAGATCGAGCGTTTCGACGACAAATCACACGACAATTTCGCCAGCTCTGATCCACGGAAAATCTCTCCATCCATCTTTTCAGCGATACACATAATTCTCGATTTTGGGTCAGGGCGACTGAGTGATAGATGGCAATGGGAATCAGAGGGTTGTAGACGATTCATTTTATCTACAGCTGACTTCTCGCCAGCTCTGTTCGGAAGCACTTTTGGCACGCTCAGCGAGTGATCCCCGCAGTCGATCATTGATCACTTTGGGGCCTCCTGAGGAGCATCCAAAATTGCCCACAATTAGTTCACTCATCGAAGTCACTCCGATGAATTTATAGCTCAATTATGAGTCTCTCAGTGGATGATTTAGTGACTGAGTGAGAGCAAATAGAGGGAAATTTATGGTGTTCATTGAACATCTGGGTGAAACAATGGTGTGTGGTTTCTTTTCCTGCGATTTCCGCGCTGTATGGACTCGACTGAGGGTGGACTTGACTGAATTTTTAATGAAAACAGTGACGAGGGGATGAATTGGTTGGCCAAAACATGAGATCCACAGCGTAAGGATGACGCTACAAAAATGCGCATTATAATTAAATTAAGGGATACAGCGAAGTGAAACCCCGCCGAGATTTTTAGACACTCCGAATGGGGGCTCCTTTCAACAATTTAACATTGTTCTGCGGTGCTATCTTTTCGGGAACACAGGAACAATGCAAAGACCGCACGGGAAAAATAAATGCGGAATAATGTAACAATTTTCCTGTCCGTCACGATGGTCGGCAAATTGGGGATTTTCACTTCGGCCCACGGACATAAAAAAACCACCCAAGAGCAGGGGATGAAAAGTAAAATGGAAGTCTCGGGAAAATCAATACACCATCAAATCGATTTTGTGTCATGAATGACACGATGGGGCGGAAGCTAATTACTCAAAGCGGTGATGAATTATGTACTTTAGGCTCATCCTTTCGTGGTCAGTTGCATCTTTTTGGGTGAAAATAAAAAGACTTCGAATCGATTTCACGCTGAAGAAACATCACATAAAATTTCAATTATACGCTAGTTGATCAATCAAAGTCACTGTCTTGATCCTTGATTCCTAGCAATTTGCTTCGCAATGAAAAAGAAGAATCGAGAAGAATTTTGCAGAAAAGAATTCTCAGGAGATCTTCTTTTCGACAATTGGTGACTTTCTCGAGCGCACTGGCCATAAATTCAACTAGATTGAGCCTGCGTTGGATTTGAGGGCATATAATCGTTTATCATATCATCCCCTATCGTTAAATCGCACATGAGTTGGTGTACAATAGTCGGGGCAATAAACATAAACATAAAATTCCACGATTCCACCCCACATATGCGGAGGGGATATTTTGGGAGCAGACAACGATGGGCTCACACTTAAGGGGTTAATACCATAAATCCTGGAAAAAGCCTGTTGATTCTTTGTTTTCCGGGGGGCGAATTCGTATTTACTCTTCGGTTTTGGGTTTCAGCCACTTGAGATACAGACTGAATGGACCAGATTTCCCGGAACATGATCCAGAGAACAAAGGGAGCGATAATCGGTGTGGAAACAAGATTAATTTTGTTGTTGACACGACAATGAGATTAGTTGGTTTTACAAGTTTTCCAGTGTGTCGAAAAAGCAAATTGTTCCCATGTTAATCAATTATTTGGTCGCCTGAGAGGGAATCCTGGCGGAAGATTTCAAGAATTTGTGGAGGAGAAAGACTCAATTTGGCGAAAGAGACTATATATTCTAGATCATTTGTCTTAGTCCCAGCATGGGGTCTGGGTAAGTATAATATATGGACTCTTGTCGACTTACGCTCTTCGGTGCGATGGGAAAAGTTGGGGAGATTTACCGGCGCTAAATGCTCAATTACGATGTTGAGCAGCAAAGGAATAAAAAAGTGCCCATTCAGCAAGAGAAAAAGTGTACATAGAGACTTTCCGAAGGGAATCGATATAATTGGGCAGATATAGATAGAATTGCATTTTGTTGTTAGATGTCAGAATGAACCCTTTTCCAGGTCTTATTAACTTTTTCATATCCATCAATTACGGTTGTCTTGAAGTTCCAGTGACAGAAGTCATAATGAAATGACTGTATCATCTTAAGGAACTAATTACACAACTCTTAATCTTCACCACTCTCCGGAAGGGTGTCCATCAAAAGTGGCGCTCCCCCTCCATTGCGGGTGTAGCGCGGTGAAAAGTGGCCCTGAGAGGGAATGGAGCTCTTAAATTTTTTTACGACCAATCTCGCGGAGGTTTTATCACCCTCAGAAGTGAGGTGTTGGTGAAACTTTCCTGGGAATGTCGGCCGATGGAATTGCAAGAGCCAAGGCAGCAATTCCAGGTGAGTGGCTTCGGATGAAATTTGTCCAAATATTAATTGCATCGAGGCAGAGGCGGCCAGAAAAAAGGAGGAAGATAAATAGCTTCAGAGGCAGCGGCAAACAACCTGATGCTCGCAACAAAGGTCGGCACAAAGAGAGTTGCCTATAATACCAATAACCAAAATAAAAGAAATGTTTTTTCAACATTTTGACAAATGAATCGAAATAATAGGGTAGCCGGACGGATTTCGTCATTTGCTCATCAGTTGTTTGCTAGATATCGTGAATAACAAATGAAGTTCGATAAGTCAGGAGGGCTTTTTTGCTCCTCCGCGCACGTCTTTGTCTCTGGCCAACACTCGAGCACTGTGGCAGGGCTGGAAATGATGATGTGAAACAAATGATGGCAAATAATAGTTCTGCCTCCGCTGAGGTTTCTAGCTACGAGAGTGGCTCCCGAGGCGCCACTCTTGCTTGGCAGGAAGATCCAGAAGTCATCAGGGTCTGAGGGAATCACTTGACTAACCTTGAGCGTTGCTCTTGCGAGCCGTCTTCTTCTCCTTCATCCACGGATACTCGGGCACGCCGTCCATGCCGTCCGGGGAGACGACCGGGTAGCCCTGCGGCCCCATCTTGGGGCTCTCGGGTCCGATGTGCGTGAGGAACTCCGCCATGGAGGGCTGCGAGTTGATGAAACCACTCTCGGTGGTCATCCAGTAGGCCGTGTCTGCACGCTTATCACAGTTCTGTCCCAACTTCACACCCATCTGGCCCTGCTGGGCGGCCTGCTGCGCCTGGAGACCCCCCTGGAGGGCGTTCATGGGCGACTCTGACTTTATCTGCGCGCCCATCTGTGGGTCCAGACTGTTACACTTCTCCTGCATATTGTCACTGGTCAGAAACACCATTCAAATTGGAGCACTGCGTCCCATGCCTCGATCCCGACGGTCACTGGCCGCACTATTTGCACCGAGGTGGGATTAGGTGGGGTTCAAACGCAACTTTCACTCGCTACCGCACCACTGATCTAACCGCGATCACAGCTCACGACCGCTCACGTTCAGCTTAGAGGCGCGACTGACGAGAGTCTCGGGCACGGGACTCCGTGCGAGCGCCAAGTGTGGGGTCTTCACGCGGAGTGTGAGACGCGGACAGGAGGATCACGGGCTCGGATTCCCATCACTTCGCACAAGTCACCCCTTTTTTCGCCGAATCTCTGTGTCTCTCTGGTGGATGGCCCTTTTTTCCCTGCTGAGCCCTGGCGACAGCTCAGTCCCTGCTGTTCTGCGCGCCGGACCACGTGACCTGACTACACTGACCAATGGCACAGTGACTACTGAAGTGAGATACAAAAAGATAACATCCATGTGAACGCGGCGCTGCTGAGAACGAGGAGAGGCGGTCTCCGGGCCCCGACGAGAGCACTTTGCGCGCGCACGGGGCGGAGTCTTGGAGACTTTGCCATGGCAAAGGCACTGGCGCGCTCATGGCATAGACTGCGTAGGTGAAGCCGAAGTCTCCAGAGAGACTGTGGAGAGATCTCTCCAGACGGCCGCAAAAAAGACACAACGCGGCCCCAGGAAAGGCGATGAGATGGGTAGGATTGGACAATGAGAATCTTAAAGTCACTGCCTCTCAAGGCGTATTGATCCGAAAACTCCCCAGATAGCACTTTAATTCTACGGCACCTTTTAATTGACACGCGCTTCGCGGAATCCCCTTGATCACCGCAATGCCGCGAAACCCGCGCTTCCCGATCGCCGTTCGCGGATTGTTTTTCCGCAACGGGTTTTTGGAACTCATGGGCTTTTTGCGCGCCACATATAGTGTCAAGAATAATTAGACTTCTCAAGCACTTGGCGTTATGATTTACGCGTGTGAGACACGCAAAAAGGAGCACGTTCAGAGTTTCATGACATTCCGATCGTATTGCTGTGGTCGCTACTGTGTCTTTGGATACGTTGGCGCTGAGAAAATGACGCGGAGTAGTTGAAATTTCTTGGAACCATTTGATCGGGGCATTAGATTAGGCACGGCTCAATGGTGGCCGCGGTAAAAAATAGCCCCCAGAGAGCGACATATTTGTGATTTGTTCGCGGGGAAATGATGGCGGGTATGAGAAATTATGTGAAATTATAGCGATGGCCATCAGACGAAAATAAATGGAGAAATATTGCGCGAAAGTCTCGGGCCGCAAACTTTTGTGGCAACCATCAAATGCCAACCATTTGATATCAAGATTGAATGTGAAGCCCATTACAAGTCTTATATGCACATTTTTCCCCTTTTTCGCCACACATGTTCCTTCGCGCTCTCCAACTCTGCCTCCGCGCGACTTTCGAGAATGGCTGGCGAGGAGGAGAAGCACGGCAAAGAGACCACGGAGAAGGAAAAAAAGAAAGAAAACCTAAACCAGAAATTTCTTTCGGCGAACTGTAATGGGTGGCTGTCACGCGAGCTTGTCGATTTTTTTCTCCGCTCCATCCTATCCGCCATGGAAGTTTGTTAGGCATTAAAGACACGATTCCCGAGAGCGTTTCTCGAGTCGAGGCCTCTCGTTTTTTTTCTTTTCTTTCCTCCACAATACTCCAATGCAGAAATTGCTTCGTGATTATTTACATAAATATACCCTATCCGTCCAATTGAATCCCCGATCATCGACTGGATAAAATGTCAGCAATCATCTTGGCAGAAAGAGCGCGAAGAACTCGCCCAAGATATCTAATGATTGTAATTGAAGTAATGCCGCACAATTCACTACTCACTCATGCGTCTTCACTGGACTCCTCGATTGTGCTCAGAGGCAAAACTGCACCCAGAGAAAATATGCTAAAAAGGCGAACAAGACGCGTTGTTTTTATCAGTGATTAATGATGTTGGAATTGGTGGGTTTATGTTTGGGAATTCGCGGCTTTCAGCGAGGGGGGAAAACGCGCTGAAGGTCTCTCGGGAACGGGGTGAAAACGTTGTAAAATGATGCCACCGATGCATATAGCAATTGATTACAACATGGTTAATTGTAACAATTGCCGCTGTCGTGAGGCTAACCATCCATCTGCGGGCTCAGTTTCGGTTGCAACTCTTCATAGGGGTTAAACGATCGCAAGTTCCAAACTTGTTCTACCTTCTTACTAAGGGCATTTTGTCGCAATATGCATAGAACAGAAAGTCATTTACAGATCTTTCGAAGATTTAATGATTTTATTCTGCATTTTTAGCGTCTCATTTGGGAAATTCCCTTTCCAATGGCTCGGTTCAGCTGAAAAATGTCCTGGAAAGCCTTGCGGAATAATTTGAGCGGAATCGTGATCAAAGGCTCATCTTATTCCACTCAAAGCATGTGACATCTGCGTGCGTGGATATTAAAGGCATAGCGCAGGAGATATTGCATGATGTGGTGTAATGGGCAAAATATTGAACAGCCTTTAAAATGATCACCACCAATTGTTTTATTAAAACATGCCACTTGGGGGAATTTGTCGTGAAATATTGCCCCATATTAAGTTTTGATTTTCCATCACATTTTCCGGGCACATCAATCACTTTCTTAGAGTGTTGGCGCAGACGAATGGGACACTCTTGTGCTCCCCGATTGAGAGTGGCTTCAATTGCTCGAGCCACAATTATTTTCTCCTTTAAATGAATGGCACAGGGAAGCACGGCCATTCAATTAAGTATGGAGACTCTCTGGGAAATGCAAATTTTTATCGTCCTCAGATGTCCCTGAATGGCGGGAAAAAATAGATTCCTCGTGTCTGAAGATTCCACCCTCCTCGATTGAATGAAAGTGCTCTCAATGTGGGACAATTCCGAATTCATCCCCTCGCAATTTAATTAAATTCTATCTCGATTTAATGCGGAAGAAAAATCGCAGTATGAAGGCTCTGGCTGAGAAAACCCTTCTGAGACGCACCATCGCGGGGAAATCTGCTCACCGGCTGAATGTAGCCACAATTTGTGTGATTTTAGGGCTTTATGGGTGGGGGTGGGCGACGCTGAACAAATGGAAATTGCGCACCTTATGGAAGTGAATTATGAAGTGATTTAGAGGGTGATTCGGTCTTTCTCACCCTCTCCGCTGACAATTTTCACGTGACCACAAGCCTCTCTTCGCCAGGAGATGCAAAACATCCGAACCAGCAATTAAGAATCTGCAAATCAGCCACAAAATCCTTTGCAGATGCAAATAATAGCGCTGTGTGTATTTTCTCAATTGATTTTTAAAGCTACAAATTGTGAAAAGGATCGCTTAAAATGTCCCAGAGAGTGAACTGGCTAAGACTTCCTTTTCGCCTTCCTTCAGCACTTCGGCAAGTTTTGCGGTAGACATAAAACTTGCCCTCCAAAAGGGTGGGTGCTCGTCCCGAACTTGGAGTATATTTTGTGGCTGTACCAAATTCCGTTTCTAAAACTTTCCCACACTTCTAACCCTCGAAATTTTGTTGGGGATATTTAAGAAAATTTACTTCTAATACTTCCTGGGGAATTTTTTCCCTCACTCCTTCCCCCTTTCGGGGGTGAGGATAGAGACTTCCGATAAACATATTTGCCCACTTTTATGTCGACGGGGAGAAAAGTCTTAGAGATCGACTTGAGTACACAAAGGACAGTGTCCACCCTCATTTGTGTCCCTTGAGGTCACAATTTGCCACAAGGGTTGCAACAAGAGTGTTGCCAACACTGGCAAAAGTTCATAAATCAAATGGTCCAGGGTTGGGGCCTCACCCTCGACTGAGTGATTTTTTTCACATCCCCGAGACTCTGCATACAAAAATACCTCCACATATGTGGTTGGGGTTAAAAATGTATTACAGCAGTGCAGAAATGCTCAGAATGTGGTTGTTGCTTCTGCTTTTTATCCTTCTTAATGTGCAAAATTTGTAATTAGATGGAAAGCAAGTCATTAGAAGGGTTGCCAACAGGGGTGATTGTGGCTTCGCCTAAACAAAGGTCCTGCAGGAATACATCCTCTCTGCAATGTAAGGTGAAGATTTGTAGGCAGAAAATTGTCGAATGACGCAGGTTTTCTCACCATGTAATTCAATTTAAATGCTCATCCTTCAGCATCGTTTCTTGAGATGATTCTCTCTCTCACACTTGTGATAAATGAGCGAAATTGTGCAATTCTCGCTCTCTCGGAGAATTCAATTCATTCCCAATTGATGGTGAAAAAGTGAGTGGTTCTCGAGACTCGACCACACCTCTTAAAGTCGAGAGTCATGTTTGAAAACAAGGCGATCGCACTGACGATAAAATCATCTGACCCACTTTCGGCTCCCGAAAACAGGGGAGAACGATTGTTTTGAACGCGCCAAGAATCTCACAAACAGCATTAATCTGCTGACTCTCTAATCCGATGAGTTATGATGCGGTGAATCTCCGGGGGTGGCAAACCCTTTCGGGGAAATTAAAACAATCCCGCGCGCGCTAGAAAAAGTCATCTCGGAGGGTTGATGGTGTGGGTAGAAAAAAAAGATGACCTCGATGTTGATATTCCATCGTGATGAAATTTCATCGCCACTCGTCAAATATATGAGAAATTTTTTAATTTCCAAATTACATCGCCACTCCATTTAGATAGAATGGGTGAGATAGATATTGAAATAATCCAACCTCGCGAGAGTGTTTGTACGCTGGCAGTTTGTTTTCCATCACGGAAATTGAGTGGATGGTATACACTTTTTCCATACCTTCACCCACCTTTCAGCCACTTTCAATTCATTAATGGATATTAATATGCAAAAATTCACCTCAGCAATTTGTACAACGTGAGAACCTGTGAATAGATAAATTAAATAATGAGGGAGAAACAATAAAGGAGTGAATTAGACTTTTTTGCGACGCACTCTCATTTTTAGGCCCCTTTGTTCAGGCTCAAGTAAAT